CTGCTGCTCAAACTGGCTATTCAGAAGTAACCCCAAATACCGACATAGGAACACTAGTAAGTTCTCAATCATTTGCTGCAGAAGTTTAATTTGCTGCTTAAAAGTAATTTTAAGTGTAGCAAACATACAGCTGCAATCTGGCTGAATAGACATCTTTATGACTCTAGCAGCTACATTTCCCATCCTGTCTAAGCCAATATAAATCTTAGACCTACCCCATGCTTTCACAGAGGAAATACGAAAGCAGCACTTGTAGTGCATATTCCAGGACAAGCAGGAGGTTCCTTAGGTAATTAATAGAAGGGGAGGTTGTTTACATGATCCTTTTTAGCAGTGTCACAATAGCTTGACATCCCCTCCCTCCTGGAGAAAACCGATTATGTAGATGCTGAAAACAGATCTACACACAGCAGTGAAAAGCTAAAGTCAATCCTTTTTTAGCACAGTAGGAATTAGATCAAACATGCATTTACCAGCTGCTGCAGGACCATCCCAGGGCAGTGCCTCATCAGCCATGAAAAACCTGGTGCCTCCCTGAGCTGCTCTAGTTATTTAGTTAACAGCAGTTTTAGTCTTCAGTTAGAAACCAACCTAATGCATAAAGGACATTTTCCAACTTCAATTGTTCAGAGGTGTGCAGCATTCTCCTTCATTTAACAAGATTTTTTTTAATCCTTAGCCATATTCCTTTTGTCACGCACATCATAATCTTACTCCCTCCATCACTAACTGCAGGCAGTGTAAAGCAGCAGGTCACATTCTCATTTCCTGGAAAACTGTGTCATGTTCCAGTGGACTGTTTCACCAGTTACAGTAAATGCACTCTTCTGGTTCTAGTAACTGCAGTTGTGTTAAGTGCTAAAGTTTTTCTTTAGCAGCTCAAACTGGTAATAACCCTTTCCTAGTCCTTACAAATTACACCTAGTTGGAACATGGGTTATGACAGACAGCACCTGAGGCTGATATTATCAGAGGTATAATCCACCTAGCGAGGGATGTGGATAGGGATTATGAGTTACCATGCTCAGCCTTACTCTTTCAGAGCTAGGTAGGTAGGTAGGTAAATTATGGGTGGGGATTGTTTTGTTTCTCTCCTTTAAACCAAATATTACCAGATGGCCTATTAGAGCCAACAGAGCAGCTGGAACTTGCTGACCAGGCTCAGAACAGTCATGTCAGGCCAAGCTTTAAACAGACACTGTTCTGGGAACAAGAAGTCTGGTTGGAGCAGAAGTCAACCCCCTGCAATACAGGTGCACCAAGGCATTGCTAGAAGTACTGGCCCAGGAAGGACCACCTCTGACCCCAACATCTGCATGAGCACATGAAGAGGCACAGGTTTCTTTTTACACAAGGTGTTACAGTATTTACCCCATTCAAGGGCTTAAAAAGTAAAGTTTGTTCTTTTCTTTGTTCCCTGTAAAAATCTCTGTTTTTAAGAACCACCTATTTTAAAAGCAGCAGATGGTAATACCATGTTCTAAGTAAAATGAATTATGTCTGAGTAAAATAAAAGCAGCTGATCTCAGTCTGCAAGCATCTAGTAGGTGGTTGGCTATTTTGAAAAGAACAAAGCTTGCTAGCACTTGGAAACAAAGAAACACTGAAACCCTGATTTGATCCTTTGTAAAAATCTTATTCTTGAATACACCAAACTTTCATCTGCTCTGCTTTTTAATGGGATAGAAGACAAGCAAGTTAAGTAGAAAGGTATGTTTATCATTCCCTGCTAGGGTGTGCCTGTGCTACAGTAGAACACACATTACTGAGCAGCAGATACAGTACCAGAGATAATACTGATACAACATTATAGAACTTTAATCAAGAGCAAAACGTTTTAAGTAAAGTAATTCTAACCCCAGTTCTTCCAGCATTCAGAAGAAAGCTACTGCCAACTTGTGGAGCTTTTACAGATGCTCACTGTCACTATAGAAGCCCATAAAGGTTACTTTAAACTTATTTACTAGTAATAACAGTTAAGTGGGCACTTAGTAATTAAGTTACTAAGTAATTTAGTATTAAATCTATTGCACATATAGCAGGAGGGAAAACAATACATTGACTTCTAGTCACTTCAGAAAAGTTACAGTATTTTCTATTTACAGCTATTCATTCTCCATCTGCAGCTATGAAAAATATGCTGGCTATCACCTGGTGGGCCCATATCAAACTGGCCAAAACTTGGGCATTGTCGTGGTTCAAGCCCAGCCGGAAACTTGGAACCACGCAGCCGCTCGCTCACTCCCCCCCTTTTCCTTCCTCCCCCCGCTCCCGGAGGGATGGGGAGGAGAATCGGAGGAATGTAACTCCCACGAGTTGAGATAACAGCTCTCCAGTAACTAAGGTATAATACAAACCACTGCTGCTACCAGTAATAATGATAAGAGGAATAACAAAGGAAAAGGACACAACCGCTCACCACCCGCCGACCGATACCCAGCCCGACCCGAGCAGCGATCTGGGCCTTCCGGGTAACTCTCCCCAGTTTATATACTGGGCATGACGTGCTGTGGTATGGAATACCCCTTTGGCCAGTTTGGGTCAGGTGTCCTGCCTCTGCTTCCTCCTGGCTTCCCCTCCTCTCTGGCAAAGCATGAGACTGAGAAAGTCCTTGGTCAGAGTAAACATTACTGAGCAACAACTAAAAACATCGGTGTTATCAGCGTTGTTCCCAGACTGAAAGTCAAAAACACAGCACTGCACCAGCTACTAAGAAGGAGAAAAAATGACTGCTGTAGCTGAACCCAGGACAGGCATCACAAAGATGCTCAACTTGAGCTTCCACATACTAGATCTAGAAAGCAGGGCAGTTACAAAGTATAGAGGATGTATCTTTTGGTATTTGCATCATTTAACAACCTGGTACTGTACTTCAGAATGGAGCTATTGAAATGAGTCATGTCTTCGGGTATGATATTCACCACCTTATCTAACCTGACACAAGTGGACTGTGTTCTGTTCCTTTCTCTATTCTCTTTGAACAAGTGATATAATAGTTCATTCAGAACCACAATGCTAGCTGTTACACCACCAGCCATAAGAGTGCCTGGGTAAGCAAGATAGATTACAGACTTGTAGTAAATTATTGTTTAGGCAGCTTTCCTTAGAAATTTTAGTACTGAAATCTTTTAGTTAAGACAGGCTGCATTCACTGTATCACATGAAACAGACACCAGTACTCCTGTGACAAAAATAGGGCTTTGCCTGTATTGCAAGCTGCAAAAATCTGAGTTTGCCTAGCTGAAGTAGTCTTCCCCACACAAAGAACTTAAGTTTGTGCACCATGAAGAGACAAACCAAATGATAAGCCCCTAGTATTAGCTTGAATGGATTAACATCCAATTTTTATAGCAGCTGCTAGCAGGTTCCCCTCTTTTCTCTACACCAAGGTAACCCAGCTAACACCAGCAATACTATCCTTTGAGCTGTAAGGTTCCATGTCAAGTTACTACATTCATAAGCAGATAAATTAGATTCCTAGTTTGTCTTGAAATTGCATCCTATCAGTGCTGTTAATAGAAAGGAGTCAGCCATACCAATCTTCTTTCCCTCTGCCTTCAATTAAATTGTAACTTTATATAAGCAATTTCAAAAAAATCTCTCCTCCCTGGCTCTCAGCTGCTAAGTGATTACATTAGGCTGACAGTATCCAGATAATTCTAGAGATTAAGAACCACTCTACAGAGAACAGAGCTAACAACCCAAGTGGTATTTACATCTAAAAATGCTACTTGTTTACAAAAACTAGGTCTGACACCAGTACTTTCAGCTACTCATCAATAAGCAGCTGAAGGACAAGATGTCGTCTCCATTGTTTTCTTTTGTTTCAAAGTCTCGCTCCTCAGCAACTGTAGGACAGGGCTCTTACCTCACCATTTATGAAAAAGTTCATTTTCTTTCATGTGTCTGATTTAGAAGCTTAAAATACTTACATTACTGTTCTATGCTTTGCTGCAAGCTTTGACCTCTAACCAGGAAGTAAAGGAGCATCATAGTGTTTAGGTCCAATAACATAACAGTTTGAACCCTGCCACTATTGACATATTTAAAAGCCAAGAACAGAGGTAGCAACTGGAAATCAAACATGCAATCAATTATTAATACATGCTTTTGAATTTTGTTTCAACTTTTTACAATACTCTTACCTGTAAAGAGAAATGCTAGGGAGCTTTAGAAAGCTCTTGCTTTAATCATAGGAGAGTCTCTAGACATCTGGCATCTCAGTCTATGATTAGAATTCCTAGCAGTCATGTTAAGTCAACATTTACTTGACTGTTCCTGTATGATGACAGACTAGTATTCAAATTCAAGCATAATCCAGGGTACTTTACCTTTAGCAAGAATCAGAGATCTGCATTACTATCAGCAACTGGGAGGAGGCCTGTTAAGCAGTTACATACTGGTATATAGGCTGTCCACGTAAAATTTAAGGTATAATACCTTGACTGATCCAAGAGCTGGAACTATGCCAATTCACAAGATAACATGACATCTAGTTAAATTCTTGGGCTTTCAACATAATAACAGAAAAGCATGCAGAGCAAGAATTTTTCTAAATTCTTATTTGTAAATACCTTCAAGAACTCAAGGCTTAAAACTGGGACATCTACTTGGCTTTAGTAAGCTGCAGTTCTTCAGGTCAAAATACCTTGATTTACATGTCCTTTGGCAAATTGATTGCCATGCTTAAGCAAAAAACTTAACTGACATTATACCGAAACAACTCAAACTTCAGGGGAATTTCTTATTGTATCTTCCTATCGTATCAAGACCAGCAATTTAGTAGTTTAGGTCAGCCATAGTCTGGAAATGAGTTCAGTCCTTCACTGTATTTAAAGCTTTATTTATAGGAAATTCACTGCATTAATGGCAGCAATATTTGCATTGTATTTGAACTCAGCACTAATAGGTTAATATTTACATGTAGATAACATTTAAACCAAAACAAACTAAAATACAGCCACAGTTTTAGACAAACATACAAGTTACAGACAGACTTCATAATAAGAGTAATCACAATTATTTCACTGTGGTGGTTGATTTAGTCCAAAAGGCCTATTATTTCTTAATCAGATTAGCAGGAAGAGTGGATTTGTCCAAGTCGTCAAAATACGGATGGTTCAAGGCCATTTTGCCAGAAATTCTTTTTGCAGGATCATAAATTAACATTTTCTGAAAGAGAAAAGAAACATTTACTCCCTCATGAAGTGGTAATTAAAATCATGTTACACAGGTAGCTATTTCACCATAGTAATAATCAAGTAACCATTAAGACAAAGTTTTCTCCTATGTTCCATGACTTCTCATAGATGGAGAGATTATTTCTACCTATTAGTAGTGCATAGCATCTCAGAAAGTAAAGAAATAACCAAGTTCATGCATGTGTCAATGGCAATCATTAGTCTCAGCTTCTCAACTAAGGGATATAAACAAACTTTGGGTGGTCAAAGCCAAAAATGCCTACAAGGACAAGTGGTCTTTTCCTTGTTTTGTTAAACTGACACTTTAAAAACCAGTGTCAAATTGCTCCTACTCAGCTTGGTGCAGCAGTTTACAGCTAAAATATGAGTGATCACTGTTTCAGAATCCAAAGAGGAATGCATTACAAGCAGGTAGAACTGAAGAAACCCAGCATTTTAAAACCTTCAGTTGCTTTGCAATAAGTTACTTCAGCTGAAGACTTCAATAATAAAATTTTATATTTAAATGATTAGAGCAAATAAAGAGGACGCTGTAGCTACTAAAATAGTACACTGGAACTTTAAAGAAAAAATACACTAAAAAACACACAAAAAAAAAAAAAAAAAAAAAAAAAAAAAAAAAAAAAAAAAAAAAAAAAAAAAAAAAAAAAAAAAAAAAAAAAAAAAAAAAAAAAAAAAAAAAAAAAAAAAAAAAAAAAAAAAAAAAAAAAAAAAAAAAAAAAAAAAAAAAAAAAAAAAAAAAAAAAAAAAAAAAAAAAAAAAAAAAAAAAAAAAAAAAAAAAAAAAAAAAAAAAAAAAAAAAAAAAAAAAAAAAAGAAACCCTCCCTACAGTTTATACCACACAAGAAGGGGCCAAAAGAATATAGGAATGAAATGTTCAGCAGTTTTGTACTACAGCTAAAACTGTCTCCACAAAGTGTTTTTGCTTTTACTTCTCCTTACTAAACGAGAAAATACACTTCAAATTCACATAATCAAGATTCTACCATCTGCTTCTTTCCCATGCCCACAACAAACTTCTTCCAGAAAAAGAAAAACTTAACCTGTATTACCCTGCCCAGTAGGTTATTACCCTACCAGTCTTGACAGTTATCTTTAGACATCATCCTTCAGGGAGTCTTCAAAGTTGATTTAAATCACTGAATTTGCATTTATATTCTCTGAACTCCTGCCAAATACAACACTGTCTCTAGATTTAGAAACATGTCCAATTTCACCTTAAGACAGGTTCCCATTAGCTATACCCCAGAACAGTATCCTATAGCTAACACTGATATCAAAAGTTCTCTTAAAATTGAAGTCAGACAATAAAGGGCAAATTTCTCTGAAAAGGGACGCTGCACATTGAGACTACAGTACTTCAGCAGACAGATTAAGTGACCATTTCTTCTCTGAGCAGTCTGGAACAATTCTTCCTGTAACTTAGTGTCCGACAGACCAAAGCTTTTGATGGCAACCATTAAGTGCTTTGAAATGCTGTGCCTGTGTTACAGAACAAAAATCTTCAGTTTTGTTGCCTTTAAAGTCCTATTGCTTCTTCGGTCTTACAAGTGCTATAGGAAGCTTAAATGGATTCCAAACAGCTACAGATTCAGCCATAGCCCTGTCACCAGGCATTAACAGGAAGCTAAAATTTCAGCATTAAGGTAAAACTATATAAAATTTTACCAAACTTAATATGCTTTGAGATTAGTAATGTGTTAATACCATTTACAGAACTAGTTTTCTTTTTCCTTTAGCAGCAGCATCCCAAAATACTGGTTTTACACAATGAAGTCACATCTAAGCTCAGATGAGTACTTAGCCAGTTATGTGACTGTATCAACAAGATTCACTTGCCTGTTCAATTGATTTTAGTTTGTAAATAAAATCAGTGACAATTCTACTTCAAAGTGATTTAACAATGTTGTCAGTGGACACAAAGGAATTATTCCCAGCTTAAATCAGTTGTCTCTGTAAACTGATACTGCTACAAGGTTCAAAGAGCTATCCAGGATGACTATGTTTAACAAATATTCAGGTTGTTAGTCTGAACTGTGGCTCAGTTCTCACAAAGAAAACTTGTGAGAAATCACAGTCATTTGAGCTTCTCGGGTACCACCACTTCATTCAAAGTATTTTGCCACAGACATGGCAATAAACTACTTTGACTGCTTAAAAACACAAGCCAACTACACAGGTCACTGCTGTACAAGATTCCCCCTGTACCAAGATGCTTCTGAAGTTTCAGCTTACCTTAAGACTTGTAGAGCACCCAACTCCACACCTTCAAATGCAAATTTACATTGCATAAATGCAGCTTTAGGAGAGCCAAAGGATAAGTCACCAAGGTACATTCTTATACTTAGGTGCATCCAAGATCACACCTAAGATGTGATCTAAATTAGTCCACACTATCAACACATGAGCTGGGACAGCACTAAATGGAAAAGCCTGATGAAGAGCTTGCCAAGTAAAAGCTCAGGGGGACAGTTCAACTGCACGACCACAGAACTAAAGTAAACTCACACTGGACACAAAATATACCAATTAAAAGTTAAGTTTACCACAGCCAAAAATCTTTCAACTCAGTTTAAAGGCAAGGTTAATCCCCATGCCATATGGTAATTAGTGCTGGCACCAGGAAGGTAACTGCTACAGTTTGTGGGCAAGAGCCTTCACTTAAGCCTGTTTGTAAAAGCTCATCCTCAGTTTCAAGTTGTATCTGGCTTACTAGCACTAAAAAAAAAAAAAAAAATAAATAAAATCTGAGGCATAACTGGTTAATGAGAATAGTCGTCGAGTCATTATTTATGAAAGTAGTGAGTGAATGTCAAACCATCAGTTCTACAAGAACAACAGCCCATGCTGCTGAAGATAGCCTGAAGATCTCTGTATCTTCATTCTAGAAAAAACTGATTAGTAAACCTTTTTATTTTAGATCTGTTCAGTTTATTAATAAGCAGTTTAAGAAAGACTACTTACAGACAGCAGATCAAGTCCATCTTCATCTAAGTTTTTGACATGTGTTCCAAGGCTGCCAGGTTTCCATTTTGGGAATGTGTTTTTATAGTCTTGCAGGGATTCCACTTCAGGCCACACCTCATTATTGGGGGTCCCTAAAGCTCTATGTAAGCATAAGCAACATATTAAACAATTTAGTCTGAAATCTGCATGCACTACTATGGTTTTAATAAGAACAAAGCGCTGTTGTACAATGCTGCACAAATCGCAAGGAAAGGTTCAACCTGACGTACCTGAAGATTCTGAAGAGCTGGTCTATCTCAGAGTCCCCATGGAAAAGAGGCTTTTTAGTTGCTAGCTCAGCAAATATGGTACCTATGCTCCATATATCTACAGGAGTAGAGTAACGAGCAGATCCCAGCAACACCTCTGGAGACCTGTACCACAGTGTCACTACCTATTGAACAAGGAAATTTTTTGTAAGTTTATATAATCAGGCCATCTAATTGCACACACAACAGCTCTTTCATCATTAAGCAGCGTTCAAAGTTGTTTGGTTAAAGGAATAACTACTGCTAGACGTTTTAGTGAAAACACTAGTTTCAAACTTCATTTATAGACTAACATAATAAACTCCATTGCAGTAGTTTCCACTGAAGGTGAAGCAGTTGCATACACTACCTTCTCAACAAGCATGAAGGCTTTTGCACCTAGCCACTGAAACTCTCAGACTTGAGTATTCTGTGAAGTAAATATGCCCTTACGAGACAGTAAGCGACAAGTTCTGGGCCATCTGATTCAATGTCAAGGTAACAGTGGGATTCGTAATAATCTTTGGAACCTTAGAGTAGAACCATACTCAGGGAAGTGGAAAGCCATGGAATAGAACAAAAACTGAAATACAGCTTTCTGGCACTGTTACTTTACAACTTCAAGAACTCCATGATTCTTTTTTAGTTGTTTCATATTCAGTTATTATCAGGAAGCTAGAAAGCATTGTCCAAATCACCAAGAGGATGTTGCAACTCACTTCATGAGTGTATACCCGCACTGGAATTCCAAAGGCTCGAGCCAATCCAAAGTCTGCCAGTTTAATCACTCCTTTGTCATCTATTAAGAGATTCTGAGGTTTTAAGTCTCTGTGCAGAACTCTTCTTGAATGGCAGAAGACAATGCCTTGCAAGATTTGATACAAGTAACTCTAGAAAGGGTGAAAGAGAAAGAAAGAGTAACTTTTAGTACAAGGTAATGTTCTGCAACATAAAGCAGTTCCCTTACATTGTCCCTACACATAGTAGTAGGAAATGGAGATTCAAAGCATTGCAGATAAGCCACACAAATTAATTCTTTACTTAAGCTTAGTTCAAAGCAGTTTAATTTCAGTAATTAAAAGAATTTGAAGTGGCATTTGAAAGCCAAACTCACATTCGTCTTAGTATCCACGACTGCCTCTTTAACCTTTCATTTAACCTCGAGGAGTTAATTATACTGAAACTAAGAGCTGCTTACAGCTTTGTAGGTCATCATTAATTTCTCTTATATTAAGAAATTGTCCTCATTACCTTAACACGTGAACGATCCAAATATTGGCCTGATGGAATAGTATCCAAGTATTTCTTGAGATCCATGGAAAGAAATTCAAAGACGAGGTACAGTCTTGAATCCTGCATAAGAACATCCTGAAGACTAAAAATTGAGTATACAATCAACTCCATTGCAAAATGCATGGACTCAGTTACATTTCCCTTCTCAAAAGGGGTATAAGCTGACAATTCCAGGTTCCTATTATGAAAGTGTTAAAGTTTTCAATCTTCAAAGATTAACAGACTTAGTGAGTAATACTGTCATCTGGAAAACCAAGTATATCTGAAATAGAATCAGACAGATAAAAACCTAAATGCTTCCTCTTAAACTTCTGTTCCTTTATGCCTAGTATAAGACACAGGAAGTTTGACCAAAAAAAAAAAAAAAAAAAAACCAAAAACAACCAAAAACCCAAAACTGGAGTGTTGGTGTCTACCCTCTGTTTGAAGCTGACCTCTCTTTGAAGCAGAGCCTGAAATACTAGGAGGGCTTAAGGAAATATAATAGGAATCTAGTAGACACAGCAGAATTTACACAGGTTTAAGTATTTCCTTCATCCTTAATAGGTTATAATGGATCCTAAACACAAGCATACATACACTGAGACACTATGTGGCTGGAACTTGGTTAGTTTTAAAGCACATTAAACAAAGTAATTCGCAGCACCAAAGAGCAAGTAAATATTTTGCAGGAAAGACAATAGCTGCAATTAATTTTACACGTCAAGTAGTCACTGATGGAAGTTTCACTAGTAGCTCAGATGTGCCAGCTATGACAGCATTGTAATGCAACATGTAAATCTCTGCAACAAAACAGCAGAGAAGTGATTGATGACAGAGGATCAAGTAAGAACACTAAAGTCAAATGGTATAATGCAAGGCGGCAAATAAAACTGAGACTGAAGTAACACTTCAACCAGTTTTCTTCAGGTATACTGTCTCCTCTCTGACAATAACCACTCAAGATAATCTATATAAATTACAAAAAGGAACAAAAAGTTTTAGATTCCTAGAATAGGAAAAGGCAGCATGAGGAAATCTTAATTAGAAAACTGCCATAAACATGGGATTTGGGACTATAGCAATTTGCTGCAAAGCAGACACTGTATTAAACAGTCACTAAATTGTAGAAAAATGATTTCTTATGTAAAGGGACCTAGTGCTCTTCAAAGAGTTTAGCTAAATACCAGTATATGCATACCAGACTATATTGGGATGATGCAGCTCTTTTAATAAAGAAATTTCTCGGATAGCAGTACTTGGAACACCTTCCTCCTCACTTTCTAGACGTATTTTCTTCATTGCAACCACTTGGCCTGTGGTTTTGTGCCGACCTTTATACACAACACCATAGGTACCTGAACAAAAAGACAATGAAACGCGTATAGGACATACCAGCTCCAGGTACAGATAAGTCATTGCAAATAAGAATTGCTAGCATAGGCAAGAGTCCTTGCAATTTAAATCTCTGACTTGCTTATGAACTACCACTCAATTCTGGCAGTTGGACCATACAATAGTTTTGTTTAAGCATGCCATCTATGAACAGTATCATTATTAGGACAGGGCACTTAGTAACCCGAGTATGCAACTTGAATATTTGGAAGATGCAGTTGTAAAAATCTGATACTGTTTGAGTTTCAAGTTGATTAACTTTCAGGCAAGATCACTGTATACCTCTTCATCCCCAAGGAGTTAGGATTTTGCGATCGATACATCATATGCAAATGGTAAACGTTTAGCTACAAAAAAACTTAGCGCTCCCTCTTCAGAGATCTAGATGTCCATTAGTCAAACCTATAGAAATACCTCTAGCACAGTCTTCAGTGCAGGAGAGAGGATAGTGCTGTAGGTCTAAGCAGTTGCTAAAATTGGAACCAGTAATAAATTCCAAATCAATAATCTGTTTCAGTAATCAGTGTTCACGGGAATAGAACTCTTCACAAACCAAGACAGCTAAAGCATTCTCTTTTCACCCTTCTTGAAGCATTTATCCTCGAGATTAAATTCAATCAATCTAGTTTCTTTCAGGAAAAAAGATACTTGCACAAGGCTTTACTTACAAAGCTTTGTTTTAAAATCCAAGCCCATACATTTTGCTATAGCCTTAGAGTACCTCCTCAGAGTAGCATTCTATGAATTCCCCAGTCTACATAAAGCTAAAGCACTTTAAAACACAGACTTCAACATTTAACAAAGGCTCAATTTCCAGTGAAGGGGGGAGTTCTAACTAACTCCTGCATTGAAGCAATCTTCTTATTGCCATACAGTAAATGAATTGTTAAAATTCACTTCTCCAGAGGTTTACAATCTGCTCTTTCCATTGACAAGCACAGTGACCAGATGTAGTCAGAGCAGCCAGTCTACAAACCACTACTCCCTACCAGCAGCTCTGAGCAAAATAAGCAAAGTTATACACAAAGGAATGGAGGAGCTTCCTAAGTTGAAAAGCTGGTTTCAGGCCTCAGAATATATTTTCTCCCCTTCTTGGAGGCAAATTACACCATTAGCCATCAATATAAAGGTAGACACCTCTCAACAGTGATTGGTTGTTTCAAATAGACCATGTTACCCTCAGGAGAAAGGCAATCTGAAAGTTTTTACAGCAAGAGATAGTTACTGCAGTAAATCACAAGCTTATTTTTCCAGTTAGTTGAATATCAGTAGTTTCTCTAATAGCCAGCGCACAAAATGGCACTTGGTACCTCAAACTGTGGAGCATTACAAGGCTCTATTCTGCATACTTACCTTCCCCAATCTTCTCTATTTTTGTGTAATCATCCATTGTTGTGGTTATCCCTGAAATGAACAGGAAAACAAGAACCCCATAAGCATGAATGGTTGCTGTCCTGAACACAGACAAGTCACTGAAGCTATGCCAGGTCTTTAGAAGCTACTTTTATCTTACATAATTAGAATCTAACATGAAAGACTTACCATTCTCTTCAATGAACACACAAGTTTTTATTCAGGGTTCCAACTAGAAAAACTACATCCTGAAGTATGAGTGGGCACCATCTCAAAGGAGAAAGATGCTTTTGTGCAAAAAGCTCCTCCAAACAACTGAAAAAACATACCCAATTCATAAGTTTTATGTAATTACCTATTAGCAGGAGTTTTACTATCTAAAAATCACAGGGTTCGTTGTTAGCAACATAAAAGAACGCCAGCCCCATGTAATTTGACAAGTATACAGGACAGAGCTACAAACCTAAACTACGCTGACAGGCACCAGATACTACGAGGCATTAGCACCTCGTGGGACTGGCACCTTCAGTGCTGCTCTTGACCACTTTCATTCAGCACAGCTGAGCTTTATTACCAAGCTCAGAAGCGTTACGAGGCAACGAGCGAATCTGTAGTTACCTACAGCTCCACAGGAGGTTTCCGAATCAGGCAGTCGCTAAGCCAGGGAGAGGGAAGCGAGCGCCCGTTAACCGCGCAGGCAAGGTCAGCGGCACGCTCCCATAGGGGTCCAGCTCCTGCCCATTGTTACAGGCCCTATCGCCTTAAAACCGCGCCCGGTGCCGAGCCCAGCGAAGGCAGAAGCCCGCTCCAGAAGCGTCCGGCCTGCACACCTCCCTCCCTTC